AAAACATTTTACTTGAGAAGAGTCATCATGGTTAGCTAACTTGTGAGGTTTTTTGAGACAAATCTGATTTTTATGCATTAAATAGTTTACTTGTATGTATTTTTTCCTAATATTAAATGAAAAAAAAAGTGAAAGTTTTAATAATGAACAGAAAATAACCTTGTGGAATTTATCTTCTTTCACCTACTGGGGCACGTCATAAATCTTTACTGATTTATTAAACAATAATCTTCACTGGGTTATGGTTTTGACACAGAGCTGTTGCTTTTGTTATATCCATCCTAGTAAACAGAAATGTCTGTAAGGCAGAGCAAGGGGACACTTAAACATCTAAATTGTGGAATCTGGTGAAAAAGGACTGAGTTTAAAAACCTTAATTTCTGTATAAGCCTTTCTTCAGCATTCAGTATTACGTGCTGCAACATTGTTGTAACCTGTAATATTTACCGTTGATTAAGATAAAATATTCTACAATACTATTCATTTATCTCCTCATCCCTCCTCCACATCTCCCTCTGGTTAATATGGAGATGAAACTTCAAAAAGCTTTTGTAATAACGATACTGAGTAATACAGAGGGGTAAGACATGTTTGCCAACTGCCAGGAATATGCTGGTTTCCGAGTGTGATGCCACCCGTTCCCCCTCCCCTCAGTTACACAGAGATGGACCCAACTATAAGACAATTCTGCTGTTTTGCATCTATTTAAATTTCATTTCATATGTTCAACGAATTAGTCCCACAGCAGATCTTGGCATGGGTCAACACCATGGAGTTCTCCATACTCCACTGTGTCTCTCTTTTGGATGGCTGGTCATGCTTTTGATATATTCCCTGGTTTATTAACTGTGTCACCCAGCACAAGCTGCGTGTTATCCCTGCTGTTTTCAGGACTTGCCACACCACCATGACCATTTTGTGAAAAACAGTGAAGACTCCATCTGGACGGCCGGCTATGGAGAAAAAGAGACTCATGTTTAGCTTCAAGATGAGTTACACTTAAAACCAAGCAACTCCTCCCTTCCTCTTGGGTATATCCTTTATACAGACAGAAAAATAGCTATGGCTACTGATAAGGGAAAATTTGCAATTACTTTGCTAATGCTCAACACAGACTCTTTCAAGGATACAGCGTGGAACGTGCTACTAGTTCAGTTATCTTCCACAACACAAAACCAGGCTCAAGTCACATATTAATCATAAGAACATCATAGAGATGTGGCCAGATTTAATTTGCTTGTTACTGATCTTGCCACGGCAGCTGCTAAAAACAGATACAGCAGAATGCACAGACATGCATATACACACACACTCTCTCTATTTTTTCTTAGAAAGGTTAAGACTACATGAAAAGCAACCAGCTTTCTAAGCGTCTAAACTCTTAACTGAGATTACAGCTATGGGAAATAGATTTCCAAGCTAAGAATTAATTATTTATGTGATGCAGAGGTTTGGGAAAGAGGCTTTGAAAGCCTTTAACTCTGAGGCTAAATCCTAAGAAGTCAAAAAGCTTCTGTACTTGCTTCAGTCCAGCTTTCACTGTATTGGAGCAGAAGACGGATAAAAATCACTTGAGACGAAGAAAGTAAAAATTACTGTAGGTGCATTAACTGTGTGTATCAGCAAATGGAAAAAAACCCAAACCATGGTAAACATAATTTAAATGTGGGAACTGGCTTTGTAGTTTTTGTGTAGCATTAGCAAAACCAAACTCTCCTCTAACTTAAGCTTATGCACTCATCCTCATGGTATGCATACAAGCACAATCATTCAGGAGAAGTTACTTCTGTCCTGCTTGTCTATGATACATTTCCCTTTGTGCAGATATTTTAATTTATATGTGACTATTTGACATAATGTGCAGCAATCTCCTTGCTAAGAGTTATGGGTATCTCTTAGCTCATTAAAAGTAGGGAAGAAACTAGTCTGAGAGACAGGCTTATTAAGAAGACAAATATGCTTTACGTAAAGAAAGCAGACTTTTTGTGGTGTCTGCTTTAGCTCATACTCTGTCAATTCAGCTTACAAAAACATGATGCTTACTCAAGTCATGTACTTTTCCTGTAGTTTTTACAAATCCTCTTCTACCAAGTATTTCAAAACCTGAAACTGAGTTCTAACTGCCTTCACTAAGGATGTTGAGAACTAAGTGCAGTGGAAGACAATGGGACCAGAACTGTTTGCATCTAATATTTCAATTTAGATTTACAAAAAACAATGTGAGCTTTGGCAGCATTTCCAAGTATTTGTTTAAATAACAGCACTCTGAAATAATTTCCTGAGAGAAAAGAATAAAAATGGAACAAATGCTGAAGTTAGTCTGTGCATTAACTTTTCTTGATGGCTCTAGTATCCAGTTCTTGAACTATAGACTCCAGTTCAACACTGCTCAGGCTGTAATGTCTCATCTTCTATGTTGTCCTTTCAAAATCAACTGAGTAACCTCGCTAATGAAGCTTCTGAAGTAGGCAGCGATATTTTCACTTACAGGCTAGTGGCACAGCGTCTTTTTCGACCAAAAAAAAAAAAAAAAATAATTAATGCCAAAACACATGGAAGAATTCAGTTTTGGTGATGAGATTAAAATCCCTCTGATTTTAAATGACAGTGGCCAGGATTGTCTAAACTAGGTTACCATTTCCATGCAATAATCTTACCACTCTGAGACGTTGAATAACCTAGTGTACTTTTATTAAGTAAATGGAAGCAGAAGTTAATGAACATTTATTAGACCAACTTAACACCTTGAAATCACAGGCATCAGTCAGACTGAGAGGCAGCATACTGATAAGATCAAGTCTTCTTTACAAATCTATGAGCCCCTGTACAAAAATAAAGTATAAAAGGGGCAAACAGAAATATTTGTTTCTTCCCAATCCCAGGGCTGCTTCTGAGGTCACATTCAGCATAAGTTTAGAGAAGTCCAAGAGGTGCTCTAAATTATGCAGTGATATTTACAGTACTAGGAGGACCCCTCTCCAGTTGGAGATTGAAAAAATCATAAAAAAATCATAACATTAGCTCTGCACCTGCATGAGTCTTCCCTATGCAAGCGAAGCTTCCAGCTGAATTTATGGCAGCCTTTCGCCCTCTACATACCACACATAAAAATAACAGAGATGCATCAGAAGGGTTTGGGCAGGGCAGGAGGCAGGGGAGGTGTGGATTGGGCAAACTGAGGAGTCCTGGGCTTGCTCTGTGCTTCCTGGGACTGTGCTGAAACTGGTTGATGGAACTCACTGGGCTGTGTGGTTCAGCTGTACTTAAAGCAGGGGGGGGGTGTGTGTTTCCAAGTTAATCTTTTGCTGCTGGAGGTTCCTACAAGGAAAAAAGTCTGTGGGAAAGAGGAGGCAGGACAGTATGCTAACTGATGTGCTTTACAGTTTTTGTCTCTTGATAAAAAGCTATACAGTGAGAATAAAAGAAACAAAGCTCTCCAAGTTAATCTTTCTGCTGTGTAATAGTAACTGAATGGTAGCTACACTTAAGAGAAGAAAAAATGTATCAGTTACATTAAATCACTACTTATTGTCATCTACATAAGGCAGAAGCACCCTCACGGGCCTTATGAGTCTTCTTTCCTTACAGGCTGGATACACAGAAACTCCAAGAAATTCACATTAACAGAGTCAAAAGTGTGTAGTCAAAACATTTATGGAGGACTATACCAGAATTACCAAAATTACTTCACCTGTTTAATGTCATAAACATTTGAGATGAAGAACGTGTCACTGAAGTCAGATACCAATGCTTACCAGAGAAGTTGTTTGTATTTCTAACATCAGAAGCACTCCACTGCTTGATTTTCAGTAGGTTTTCCCACCTTTGTGCTTTACTGGGAAAAGAGGTAGTTTTGAGTAAATGAACCTGTCACTTTGATGAGCTCGGCTAGTGTCCAACACTACCATTGCAACAGCTGACCTACAGGAACACCTGCTAAGGTTCATCCAGGACTAAAATGACACAGCACGACTACTTAAAAAATTACCTCTTACTCACTTAATAGTCCACAGTTTGCACCTATCCCCTTTCACAGGGGCTAAATTCAGAGCAGATGAGCAGCTACTATCACTCCAATGGGTTCCCTCTTACTTGCTGGCTTGCTTAAGCGAGGCCCACACAGACGGTTCCTCATCGGTTGGTTTCCAGCACACCACAAACTCCAGACTCAAGGGACTCGGTTACAGCACTCGTTTTGGGACGCAGTCACAGAATTGTGATTCCAGCTG